ACTTGTCAGTGTATTTGTCTGCTCGTACCTTATATGGGCAGGCAGATACACACTGACAGGAAGAGAGAATTAACTACCACAGCTCAAAGCCCTGCACAGCCATGTTTTTTTTTAATAGTGACAGCTAACGGGGGGAGAAGATTCCCTCTTATCTGTCATGAGATTCAGTGGAGCAGGCAGCAGCTGCAGGAGTGCGAACATGTTACATGTTCCACGCCAAAGAGAAAATGGGTGGAACATGCAACATGTTCCCAAAGGTAAACTTCTCTTTTAATATTAGGGTTATACTGTATTCAGTATGACTGCTATGTGGTACAGTACATACCATGTTGTTGAAAAAATAACCCCTTGGTGCCGACGCCTCTTGTCCGTTTAGGAGGTTTGTGACTCCGGGTCACAAGATCGGAGGCCCAGCAGCCAAGAGGTCGCAGTTTTTCATACGCTCAGCACCAAGGAGTTAAGAAGTTCTGATCACAGAAAATGCTCTTACTGCCTTTCTTGATTAAGCCACATTCATTGAGGGCCAGTTCACACCATGCCCGCATCTGAATCACACACAAATGTGCTGTGTGTGTCTGTGCAATTTAAATAAAACCACACTGCTTTTTCGAACTGCAGTGGGTGCCTAAAGAAGGTTAACAACATCCCAAATGCAGTACATTTGCCAGCACCTGCCTGTACAAAGTACTATGCAATCGGGTTACAGTGCGCTTTAACCACTTGCCTACTGGGCACTTATGCCCCTTCGTGCCCTGGCCAGTTTTCAGTTTTCAGCGCTGCCGCACTTTGAATGACAATTGCGTGGTCATGCAACACTGTACCAATACAAAATTTGTATCATTTTTTTCAAACACCTAGAGCTTTCTTTTGGTGTTATTTAATAACCACTGGGTTTTTTTTTATTTTTTATACTATAAAAAAAAGCAAAACATTTAAAAAAAAAAGTTTTTGTTTGTTTCTATTATAAATTGTTTCAAACAGCTAATTTTTCTCCTTCACTGATGGGCACTGATAGGCAGCACTGATGGGCACTGATAGGCAGCACTGATGTGCACTTATGAAGTTGCATGGATAGGCAGAATTGATGGGCACTAACAGGCTGCACTGATGAGGCTGCACTGTTGGGCATTGATGAGGAGGCACTGATTGTGCCGCACTGATGGTCACTCATAGGCGGCACTAATGGGTGACAATGATGGGTGGCGCTGACTGGCAGCACTGACTGGCGGCACTGATGGGCAACACTGCTGGGCACTGGTGGGAGGCACTGATGGGCGGCACTTCAGGGCACTGATCATCAGTGCCCTAATGATCAGTGCTGATCTGCTCTGTGACAGCTGCTGGTTAACCGCAATGCTTTACTCACGCTGTCACAGCGAAAGTGCTGTTGATAACCAGCAACTGCATTTACTCAGTGATCTGCTGTGTCATTGGACACAGCTGATCACATGGTAAAAGTCAGTTGTGATTGGCCTTTTACCTCATCATGTGATCAGCTGTATCCATAGGACACATTGATCATGGAGATCGCTGGCTGTGTGCTGCTGGGGTGGCGCGCGGAAGAGCGTGTTCTGGGAGGACGTCATATGGTGCCCTTCCAGAACTGGATAACCGCACTGTAGCCGTCATTCGGCTATAGCGTGGTTACCATGTGGTTAAAAGTTAGTGCATGCACTACTTTTGGTGCAATGCAATTTCAGCCCATTCAAAATGAATGGGCTGAAATTGCACCACACAGAACTAGATGTGGTTCACACAGAAATACACAGCGTGTTCCTGTGCGATTCAGATGCAGGCCCTAAAACCATGCCCAGAACAGAGCGCTAAGCCCAGTATGCAAGAGAAACCTTTACAGGAGCAAGAACAGTGAGACTTCACAGGAGGAGAAGCAAGAACTATATACATGCCATGCACCTAAAGTTTTCTTGCATATATAAAACATTTATGCAGAATCTTGTTTCGAGTGTAGGAGCTGATTAGTAACAAGACATACAACTGTACTGTGGTAAATATAGCTGTCATTTTGATTTCACAATGCTAATCAGCAGAACTGATTAGCCATGACAATTTTCTGCTTTTAACATCATGCTGTTTACTTGAAATGGTAATTATAACAAATGTTGATTTTACTTTTCAGTACTGATCTTGACACAACAGTTAATGTGGAAAGTAAGTAAGTAACAAGAAAATCTAGAACAGGGATTTTTTTTTTCCTCTACAACGTTGTAATTTGTGACTGCTCATAATATTTTAGCAATTACAAATTCATTTAAATTGCAGATTTGATTTTTTTTATGAATGCTTATGTTAGTAATATGACAAGTTAAAATCAGGAGACTTTTTAAATGTTTTTTCTTAAGTATATGGAAATAAAAATTCTGATTGTGAGTTATGGTAAGCTGGTCACAGAGCTTAGAGATTGGTTGGCCATGCATATGCATACTCTGATTGTTGGAAGATTTTATTCAAATATTGCGGATCTTAAAAATCTGTAGCACCTTATTTTTTAATCTACTGGTCATATGCTTTAAGAAAATACATGGTTTAGGAGGTACAAACTCTGAAAGTTGTAAGGAAAAAAATTAAACCTCTAGATTTTTAGAGTAATTAGGTTATTTACAGTTTTGCATGTTTCACAAAAAGGCGCAATTTAAAATGTACACATATTTGTTATTTATTAATTCAATACAGGTTAAGCTTTTATATTTAGTTGGAATTTATCAAGAATTATGTATAACGTTCTGGTTTTATCTGCTAATAATGATTTTAGTGTATTTTTTACAAAAATAAACAATTGCACAAATATCACGGGTCCTTAAGTCAGTAGCACCCTCTTTATTATTCTACTGCTATTGTGCTGTCAGAGAATGTATAGTTTGGGAGTCTTTTACAAACTCTGAAAGCTGTAAAGGAAAAATAAAAAAACAATGAAAACATTGCAAAACTAGTCTGGCCACCTGAGCTTAAAAGTGGAGAGCAGGGTGAAAGGGTTAAAGCTGAATTTCAGGCATAAATACTTTTCTATAGTTTGATGGTGATTCCCTACTTTCAAAAAATTGATTTATGCCTTCCAATGCTTTCTCTATCCCACTGAGTAATCGCATTTTTATTCCTGCTTAATATATTTTCTAATTTCTAATTTATTTTCTAAAATAAAAAATATCCAATAAATTCAAGTTTTGTCATAAATTTAGGCCAAAATGTATTGTGCTACGTCTTTGGTAAAAAAATTCCCAATAAGTGTATGGTAATTGGTTTATGTGAAAGTTATAGCATCTAAAAACTATGGTATAGATACTGTAATTTACACAATTTTTTGATATACAGCACTGCAGTAGTTTAACTGACAATTGCGCTGATGTGCAATGATGTACATAAATTAAATGTATATCATTATTTTCCCACAAATTAAGATTTCTTTTGGTGGTATTTCATCACCCCGGCTTTGTTATTTTTGTGCTATAAAAATAAAAAAAACCAAAATATTTGAAAAAATATATTTTCTCATTTACAAAAAAAATCCAATAAACTCAAATTTCATCATAAATTTAGGCCAAAATATTTTTTGCTACATCTTTGGTAAAAAAAAAAATAAATCCCTATAAGTGTATATTAATTGGTTTGTGTGAAAGTTATAGCGTTTACAAACTATGGTATATAGATACTGCAATTTACACAGCTTTTACTTTGTGACTGCCTTTTTTTGGTATTCGGCACTGTGCTAGTTTAACTGACAATTGTGCGGTCATGCAATGTTGTACATAAATAAAATTTATGTCATTTTTTCCCACAAATAGAGCTTTATTTTGCTGGTATTTGATTATTACCTTTGGGGTTTTAGATTTTTTTGCTCTATAAACAAAAAAAAACACAGAAAATGTTGAATTTTTTTCTAATTTCTGTTATAAAAAATATCTATTAATCAATTTTTTTTCATAGAATTAGGTCAAAATGTATTTTGCTACATGTCTTTGGTAAAATACATCCCAATAAGTGTATATTAATTGGTTTGTGTGAAATTTATAGCGTCTACAAACTATGGTATAGATACCTGAATTTACACAGCTTTTACTTTCTGACTGCCTATCACATTTCTTGAGGTGATAAAATGCTAGGGCAAACACCCCCAAATGAACCTTTTTCAAAAAGTAGACACCCTAAGCTATTTGATGAGAGGCCTGTTGCGTCCATGGAAGATTTATTTTTTTCCAGAAGTTTGGGGAAAATTACTTTTTTTTAATATACAAAATTGTCACAAATTATATTTTGCTCACACATGTCATGGGTATGTATGGAATTACACCCCAAAATACATTCTGCTACTTCCGCAGAGTATGGGAATACATGTGTGAGACTTTTTGGGAACCTATCCACATACAGGAGCCTGAAATTCAGTTACCCCTTTGAAAGTCTGAAGTGCCTAACTTCCTTATTTCACTTCCTCACTACCTATAAGAGTTTCAAAGATACTGAAATGCCAGAATAGAACCAACCCCCCCCACCAAATGACCCCTTTTTGGAAAGTAGAAACCCCAAGGGATTTAATAAGAGGCGTGGTGAGTATTTTTCAGATCCAATTTTTTCTCACAAGTTTTTGAAAAATAGAAAAAAAGAAAAAAGTTTTCATTTTCTTTCTTCATTTCCAAAAAACTTGTGGTAACAAACAAGATTTGCAAAATACTCACCATGCCTCTTATCAAATTCTGTATACTTTGCAAAAAGGGGTCATGGGGGGGGGTGGAGGGAAGGTTGTAATATTCTGGCATTTCAGGGCCTCCGAAACTGTGATAGGTAGTCAGGAAGTGTAATGAGAAAATATAGCCCTTTTAACCACCTCCCACCTGCCATATAGTAATATGACGGGCGCAAGGTGGTTCTCGTTCATATGATGTCCTCCCATTCTCACTGCGCATGCGCAGCTCAGGGAGCGTGCAACGCGGCGATCGGCGGTGCGCGGTGTCCCTCGGACACAGCGGATCACCGATCACAGAAAGAGCTGAAGATGTCGGCTCGGTCATGTGATCAGCTGTGTCCAATCACAGCTGATCACATGTAAACAGGGAAATGCCGGTTATCGGCATTTCTATCCTCTTGAGCTGTCACGCTGATCATCAGTGTGCCCTGATGATCAGTGTAGCCCCAGCAGTGCCACCTGTCAGTGTCCATCAGTACCTTATTTCAGTGCTCATCAGTGCCTCGTGCCAGTGCCCATCAGTACCACATCAATGCCACATCTCAGTGTCTACCAGTGCACATAAATGCCACATATCAGTGCCCATCTGAGCTGCCTTTCAGTGTCACCCATCAATGCCAGTCAGTACCACCTATCAATGCCAATCAGTGCAACCTATCAGTGCTGCCAATCAGTGCCGCCTATCAGTGCCAGTCAGTACCGCCTAACAGTGCCAGTCAGTGCAGCCTATTAGTGCCAGTCAGTGCAGCCTATCAGTGCCAGTCAGTGCTGCCTATCAGTGCCATGTATCAGTGCTGCCTTTCAGTGCCCATCAGTGATGCCTGTCAATGCCCATCAGTGCAACCTACCAGTGCCTCCTCATAAGTGCCCATCAGTGCCACCTATCAGTGTCCATCAGTGCAGCCTATCAGTGCCCATCAGTGCAGCCTCATTAGCGCACATCAGTGAAATAGAAAAATCACGAATTTACAAAATGTTATAACAAAAACTAAGAAAAAACATTTTTGGTTTTTCAAACTTTTCAGTGGTTTTTGGTTTGTTTAAGAAAAAATAAAAAACCCAGAGGTGATTAAATACCACCAAAATAAAGCTCTATCTGTCACAAAAAAATGATAAAAATTTCATATGGGTACAGTGTTGTTTGACTGCGCAATTGTCATTCAAAGTCATTCACCACCCGTTCCACCTCTGCCACCCCCCTCTGCCTCTCCCTCCACTGGCTCCCGATTGCCCAACGCATTAAATTTAAACTTCTAACCCTGACCTACAAAGCCGTTCACAACACTGCCCCTGACTACCTCACCAACCTAATCCCCAAGTACCGCCCTACCTGTACCCTTCGCTCCTCACTGGACCTCCTTCTATCCTGCTCCCTGGTCTTCTCCTCCCATGCACAACTGCAGGACTTCTCCAGCTCCTCCCCCATGCTCTGGAACTCACTGCCCCAATCCATCAGACTGTTGCCTTCCCTCTTCACATTCAGGCACTCCCTCAAAACCCATCTCTTCAGGGAAGCCTACCCCACCCTCACCTAACGGCCATTCTCCCTCTTTCCTACCACCCCTCATTCCCCTCAGCCACTTCCTACTGTACCTTTACCCACTCCCTCCTAGATTGTAAGCTCGAAAGAGTAGGGCCCTCTTACCCCTCGTACGTTGTTTGTTGTTGTTGTACTGTGCCATATATTGTCCCCCCCTCTATTGTACAGCGCGGAGCAAACCCTTTGGCGCTATATAAACTCGATGTAATAATGTAATAATAATAAAAGTGCGACAGCGCTGAAAGCTGGAAATTGGCCTGGGCAGGAAGGGGGTATAAGTGCCCTGTAAGCTAGTGGTTAAAGTCTGAAGGTGCTTATTGGATTTTAGGGTCCTGTATGTGGCTAGACTGTTAAAATGTCTCTCATATGTGGTATCCCCTTAGTCGCGAGAAGTAGACAAATCTATTTTGGAGAGTAATTCCACATATGTTATTGGCATGTGTGAGCAATATATCATTTAAATGACAACTTTTTGTAAAAAAAAAAAAAAAAAAATTTTAATTTTCCAAAAAATAAATCTTTCTATTGACTCAACATGCCTCTCAGCAAATAGTTTGGGAGGGGGGGGTCTACTTTCCAGCAAATAGTTTGGGGGGGTCTACTTTCCAAAAAGGGGTCATGGGGAGGGATGTTCACATGGAAAAAAAAAAGTATTTTTTTGCTAGAAAATTATTTTTTATGTCACACAGTGCTTGTGCAGCGATTTTTCAAACGCAATTTAAAAAAAAAAAATGTATGTGAATTTTAATGAGCAAAAAAAACAATATATTGGCCAATTGTTTGGTAAAATATAAAAGATGATGTTATGGTGAGTAAATAGATATTAAACATGACATGCTTTAAAACTGTGCATGCCCTGGGCAATGGCGACAAACAACATATATTTTTATTATCCATAGGAGACTCTTTAACAGCTATACAGGCTACAACTTTAGATTTACACAGGAGTTCTGGTGCTAGAATTTCTGCTCTTGATCTGACGTTCGCGGTGATACCTCACATGCATGGTGCAACCATTGTTTACATACCGACATAGGGCCGCCGATTGCGCACACCATTGGCCATGCACATGGGGGGACAAGGGTGCTTTCATTTTTTGATTTTATTTTTTTTACACTGTCCCTTTCATTTTTTTTTTTTAAATCACTTTTATTGTCATCACAGGGAATGTAAATATTCCCTGTGATAGCAATAGGCAGTGACAGGTATTCTTTTCTGAGAAATCTGGGGTCTATTAGACTCTAGATCTCTCCTCTGTCCTTAAAGCATCTGATCACACCAAGACCGATGTGATCAGATGCTTTCCCAATTTTAAAATGGCGCTGCTTATATCTGGCAAAATGGAAAAGATTCTTGTCTCTAAAACCATAGAGATGATTGGAGGCATTCCAGTTTCCGATCAGCTCTATTGTCATTTCAGTGGAACTGCTGGCTGCATTCTCAGGTTCCCCTGATGGCACGGGACTGTCCGAGAAAGCCGTGGGAGGGGGCATCTTCTCCTGATGCTTGTAAAAGCAATCATGTGGCTAATTAGCCACTGATTTTACATGAAAGCCAATCACTGGCTGAAAGAAATGATACCAGGATGATGGCTGCAGCTGCAGGCATCATCCTGGTATAACCACTCAAAGTCCAGTGATGTACCAGTAGGCCTCTGGTTCTTGTTGCGCATATACATTATGTTCTTTTTTTTAATGCAGCCTGTGAGCTGAATGAAAAAAAGAGAATAAATCTCTGCCAGAAAAAGTGTGTTCTATGTCCACCATTAGAATATAATGCCCTGCATCCACCCACTTCTAATGCTGGGCATACATGAAATGTTCTTTTTTTTTTTCTGTTCAGCCGTGGGCTGAAAGAAAAAAAACTACCTACCAGTTTCCTCTATTCACATAGATCGATGTGGATGAAGAAATCTCTGCCCCAATTTTTTTATATAAATATATGCCAAAGCAGAGGAATGATCCACCCATTGACCACCCCATACTTAGGCATATAGGTTTTTTTTTTTATATTTCAATAATTTTTACTGGAAATTTTTACATACGAATACAGGAAATACCCATATGCAGTAGATAAACAAACATTCTACAGTCATTGATACAATTAGAGAAAAAAAACCAGGTAAACAGAACAGAGAGGGAAAAAAAATCATAAAAAGACCAGTGACACAGTAACATATACATTTAAAATGTCAAAGCTTAGAGAGATCAGCTAAAGAAATTTCTACCAAAGTGAGCTGTTCACACAGTTGGGTTTGTTTGGTACCATCTGAGCCAAGGTTGCCATAGGGCAAGTACTTTTCTATATCTACTTTTGCTAGAGGCCATTGCAAGTTCATAAGAACAGTGCCTGTGAACTAATGCGATAGCATCAAACGCAGTGGGCAGATGAGAGGTTTTCCAAGAACTAGTGATACTCAATCTAGCTGCCAAAAATGTGGGTGACAGAGTGTTTAGCAAGGGGGTTAATACTGTCAATATTTAAATTCAGTAAAGCTAAATCAGGATTTAGGGGGAACAGAGGACCGTGAAATAGCAGATATAATTAGAAAAATTGTAAAGCAGAAGTTGTTTAGGGGCGGAAAACGCCAAAAGATGTGAATAAAATCCCAGGGTTCCCGCAATTCCTCCAGCACAAAGGGGATACGTGGTTATTAAAACGTGCCATTTTAACGGGAGTGAGATACCATCTAAGGGATATTTTTTGTGTTAATTCCCATAGTGTAGAGCAACAAGTGGCTCAGTAAATTGATTGAAATGCGTGAAGCCATTATTGCTCAGTATAAATGTAGGTAAGATCATCCTCCCATTGGAGAAGTGGTTTAACCTTAGTAAATGCTTTCCTTTGGTTTAAGATATTGTAGAAAAGTGAAATACCTTTGGTTTTAGTAGTGGAGCGAGAGAGATATAGTTCCAAGCAGGTTTAGGAAGTTTGTAAAAGGGGTAGGATTTTTTAGCTAGGCAATGGATATCCTAAGGTAGGTGAAAAGTAATTAGGGAGGTAGGTGGAATTCTTGTTGAAGAGACATGAATGATTTAAGGTAGGAGTCATTAAAAAATCCTGAATGTATGCTATGCCGCATGCGGACAAGTGGCGTAATAGGAATATCTGGAGTAAGATGTATTAAAATGTGCAAAGGAAGATTAGGCATCACTGCTTGCATGGAAAGACAAGGAGCACAGATGAGAATCTGCCATGCAGAGATTGTCGCTAAAATAGGGGGGAAGAGTGGGTGAGATTGGAATCCCTAGGGATATTCCTAAGAGCCAAGCACTTAGATTCTCTCCTTGAATGTAGGTAGATTCTATTTGACTCCACAATGCAGTAGATGAGGTATTAAACCATTCTTTCAGTTGTGAAAGTATTGTTGCTGTATAGTAATCACTAAAGTTAATATATCCACAGCCTCCTACTGATCTATGTTTTGAAAGTGTTGCATGAGCGCAGTGGGGTTTCTTTCCCTGCCATATGTATTTAACGAGGTTTGTAAGGATTTGAAGTATGAATGTGGGATAGGAATGGGGAGGGTTCTAAATAAATAAAGCAGCTGGGGAAGAATTCTTGTTGCATTTTTGAGAGAAATGGAAAGTAGTTGGCCGAAAACAGACCTTTAACTGAGTTGGGTTAGTCGTATTCCTAAGTAAGATATGCCAGAGTCCTCCCAAGCAAAGGGGAATTGATTCTGCAATATATTCCTGGTGATACCATCTAGACCTAGATCCAATATTACGGATTTGTTCTCATTAACTTTATAATACAACACTTTGCTGAACCAGTTTAGAGTGCGATATACCTCGGTCAAAGAGGAAGCTGGATCGGAAATGAAAAGGATAACGTCATCGGCAAACAAACTTAGTTTGTGGGTGCGATGACCAATAGAGAAGCCTTTTATGCTTGGGTTAGTGCGTATATGCTCTGCTAGGGGTTCCATAAGAAGATTACAAATTAACAGTGATAATGGGCATCCTTGCCTTGTTCCGTTGGTTATGTGAAAGGGACGCAATAACATGTTCGAGGAATAAACCTGAGCCGAAAGGGTAGTATAGAGTGCTAAAATTGCGCTTAGGATAGGGCCCTGAAATCCAAATTTGAGTATTACCTGATAAAGATAATTCCAATGGACCCTATCAAATGCCTTCTCTGCATCCAGGGATAGAAGCAGAGAAGGCATTCGAGAGACCTCGGCATGGTGTATAAGATCTATCAATCGTCTGGTTGCATCCGAGGTTTGACGAAATTTGGTGAAACCGGATTGGTCACGATGTATTAGATGAGGAAGAATATTATTCAATCTATTCTATTAGTTTAGCATAAATTTTAAAATCAAGGTTCAGAGATTGGTCTGAAATTTTGTGGGGATGTAGGTTCCTTGCCTGGTTTCAGTAGTGTAATTA